CTCACTTATTCAGCCGGTCGAAACACGTTTTGCATCGGTTTTTCTGATGTTGACATGTTTGGCCGGGATACGCGACGCGTTGGAGTCTATGCTGCACGCCAACGAATGGGCTAGGCCCGACTAGCATTCCGTGGGAGCGGAGGCTCCTTCCACAGGCTCAGTGGGTGCGCCTTCAGATTCGCGATGGCCAGTTCTGGCGTCAACCTTCAGGTGGAGTTTGCCATCCTTGTTATGGAGTCTGTCCATCATCTTTTGAGGCAGAAAGACAGAGCAGGGATGATGATGTCCATTGTGTACGAGTGGAGTCAGCAGCTCGTTCGGCGGATGAGGCTGTTGACGGTCCAGCTAGAGCTTTTGACGTCGTGTGTGTGAGAGGTTGAGAGACTTGAGATGCACCTGATGCATCTCTTGGAGTCTGCCCACGCTGCAACCCATATCCTCAACCCCCGCCGACGGTCTACGAGCTACTACGAGTCCCTCCATACGACACCGGAGGACGCAGAGGTTGTACAGGAGTGTGATCGGTTTCTACTTGCACAGACGAGGAGGGATCTGACAGACATAGATTACCTCGTCGTGCAAGAGCAGATATGTCGTTTCCATGCATGGAGAGGCGATTGGGGTGATCACTTGTTGTCCGATGCCGAGGCCCACGATTGCGACGGGGACGACAAGATGCCCCGTTGTGCGGCATGGTGGTTCGCCCACGGGGGAGCCAACCCAGAGTTGTGTGCCATCGCTATCCGAGGGATGCACATATGGACGTTCGCCTCTCCTGCAGAGAGGAATTGGGTGGAGCATGAGCGCATTCAGACGCGAAGCGAACAAGCTTGGTTTTGCTAAGTTGGCACAACTGGTTAAGATTACGACTAATCTCAAACTGGCTTCGTAAAGGCAGCATGGTGGTGGGTATCTTCTGCCTTGGATCATAGACGGTCACGAGGACCAAAGACCTCGTGCGGCTGTACGCAAGGACGAGGAGGACAGCGACCCGGAGCCTGAGGCATGGGGGGCGAGACCGACCGGGACCGTCAGCAATGCTGAGCTCAGGAGACAGATTGACGTGTTCGCACACGACGGCACAAGCCCTCGGCGAGAGGTGTTATTCGTTTTTGGGCAGAGGGCAACCACATTGCTACCTTACGACCATGTGCCTCGTCACGTAGAGGACGCTGGCGTTCAAGGTGTGCAGGCTTGGGAGGACGAATAGACAGACCCGGAGGACCTTCCGTCGGGCTATGTGACACCCCCGGTTTAGGCCGCGGGCATTTCGGCCGCTGCGGCCGAGATTCTAGGCCGCTTTCGTGGCCGATGAGGCCCGGTCCGCGGCCTGGTTTTTCAATATATTTTTCCCTCCCTAAAAATACGCCAAAAAATGTATATATATATTTATATATGAGGGTGTAGCTATATTGCATGCCCGGTCACGGCCGGGGCCGAAAACTCGGCCGCGGCCAAGGCCGTCGGCCAAATCGGCCGGGTTCGCCCACGGTCGACCAGCCAAGTGTGGTGCAGCTATTTTTTTTCCATATTTTAA